TTCTTAATCTGTATGAGTGTGACTATTGCGTGAATTAGAATAAAAAAAATATTGAAAAATAATAGCAGCGTCTCAAAAAAAAATTTCATTTTTTACCAAAAAATTGGTTAGTTCTGTAAATCGCAAAATTCGAATTTTTCAAATATTGATTTAATTCTAGTTCACACGATAGCCACACTCGTATAGATTAAGAATCTTTTTGGTTTTTTTAAATTTCAGATGACAAGAATCGCTTTATTTTCAGAGCGTCAAACTAGAAAGACCCTTTAATAACATTCGAGAATTTGTTTCGCGTCAAAAATCCGCGAAACCACAAACGGAATGATATCGACGAGAGGGCGAGAAGAATGCGAATATTTCTCTCACGATAACCGTTTTTCACGAGGATTACTATGAGAAATCCACGAAATCACCGTCATAAATTTTCATGCTGCAGTTTTCGGTGCGCGCGGTGAAATTTATTAATGCAAATCAGACGCTCGTATAACGTTCGAATGAGAATGACTTTGATTGACGATACGCGGGAACAATTTGTCAGTTTTTTCACTGACGCATCGTCGTTATCATCCCGACGGCTATCGGATTACCGCGGTAAATTTTCACGTGTTAACGAGCGGTCCGCGCAATTTTCCAACCGCCTTCGCCGCCGTGAAATTTATTAACGCCAATAAAACGTGCACGCGCGCTTGACTTGTATAACAATGCGGAAAAATTCTTTTATCGATATATATATATATACTCACGTACGAACTTGCACATTCGATTTAATCTTACCACTCACGCTCGAATGTATCTCGACGGGAAGTACTTCGATCGAAAGTAGCTTCGCATTGGTACGAGATATTTGCGTGCGTTGATTAAAATGACTCACCCTGTATACGCGCGCGTGCTTATATGTATAGAAAGAGTTAGACATACGTATGTACGCACTCGTAACGGTTGTAACATAAAACGCAATATATGATAATTTATGCAGGCGCCACCAGGAAATTGCGCTCTGGCCATTCGACTCTTCATGGCGTATACGATATTGGTCTACGTTTTATTTCTTTTTGATAATAAGATTATGAAGACTATTACTCGTAATATTGAATTTAAAATTTCCGCATAGAAGGAAATTGTGTAACAGACACTTGGAAGTATTACGAGATCAGAGGCTCGGTTTAAGTTTTGATTGATTTTAGATAATCGTAAGATGAGCTCATATAATGTTTAAAATCATATATCAATAGTTATTGATGTTTTTTCATTTAATCAAGAATACGAGACGTTAGAATTTAATTCTAAAAACGGACTAGATGTAATTTAAAAAAAAAAAAATATATTACAAATATTTTAATTATAAATAATTTTAATAGTACTGCAGTTTTTATTACGGCTAATAATTTCAAAAATATCTTTAAAGATCGAAAACAATTTTTCAGAGATAACTCGATATATAAAGGAACAATGTCGTGAAAATAATCTAACACAACTACCTAGAATAAAATATAGTTAGCATAACGTTTACGTGTTCGCGTTCTCCTTTTATCGGGATGGCAAACGTTCGCCAAGTGGGTGTAGAGAGTAGACTTTGAAATTGGATAATTTGAAATTGAAATTACGACATGTGTGGAATCTCGACGACGGTTTTGCCTCCGCAAAGAAGAGGACGAAATACCACCTCCCGGTTTGCTCTCTCGCCTGCTTTCATTTCCTTTTTGTTGTTGCTCTCTCGTGTGCGTTCCTGCGCCTCTCGTGTTTGTCTCCCTTTTTCTTTCCCCACGTTTTCGCCGGTAAAAGGCGAGCATCCATTGTTTCGGCGCAGCATTTACTTCGCCGGAAACAAATGACCGGGCGCATAAAGACGATGGCAAAAAACCGCTAGTTTTCTTCGTTAAAACTAATATATGTCATCATTATTTTTAATAATGCAAAAAAGGGTAAGAACCCTATCACTATCGAGAAGTTGCTTCTGCTTGTCGCAGGCTTTCTCTGTCGCTTCTGCTTTTTCCGTTGTTCGTTTACCGGATTAACAAGGGTTGACAGACCGGCGACTAAAGGTCCGTCATTATGTCTTGGCCCTTGACAATTATTTATAGTGCATAGAGTTTTAGTGTATAATCGTCTTAATATATTATTAAACAGAAAATATTTACGATAACAGTTATAATTATATAGGATTTATCTCTTTTGCTTCCTCATAGAGGAAGCGTGTGTGTGTGTGTGTGTGTGTATGTATGTACGCGATATTTTGTACAACCTCTAACTTCCGCAATTTTTGAGATACCGGGTTAATTTTTTTTTACATGGATAGAGTATCATTCAAAGATGGTTGGTATTGAATTTGGTGAGAATCGATGAAAAGGTTCATTTTTTATAAACTCACAAAGCTTTCTCTATGAGGAAGCAAAAATTGAAAAATCCGCATGCTTAAAGCAGCTTAAGCATTGTAAGATAAAATGATGAGGAAGCAATGTGCAAGTTTCTAATTTGCACAACTCTACTTGTTTTAATTTCTTTTACGTCCGAAAATTTGTTCACAGGAGATCGCCGTTTGACGAATGTTTTCGGCGACATAATGCAACGTAAAATTACTTCATCATCCTCGCAAAAATTTGGCCGGAAATTCCGTGACGAGAGAGCGCGTGATCATTACACGCCGAATTACGGTCAATTAACGCGCTAATTACGAATTCGCCCGTGATTACCGATGTATATGCATAAAATTCCCTGCGTCCGGGCTTCACGCCACCCAGTCTGCAATCAATTTCCATTTAGGTGGGATTGGGAGTAGGTTTTTTTCGCGGCACCGCTGCGTGCGGAGCCACCTTTTACTGAGACACACTTTTACGTCTCTATTAAGGCCGCGGTGTCGCGTGTAATCCGGCTGCCGGACTTAATCTGTTTAATGGCTTTCGTGCGCAAGGATATTGCGTCGGGGCGGCGTTCTCTGACGCTCACGCAACTGCACGGCGGATCGAAGATCGCGGTGCTGCCGTGCGTTCTCGATCTCGGCGAATGCTCAGAAGGTTGTTCCCAGTGTGCAATGTACGGCAAAATGACAAGTCATTTTACTCACAATTAGTAACAATCGAATAGTCATTAAAAATAATAATCAAAGACGATAATATATTTGTTTTTGATTTAAAATAAATTATATTAAAAATATTATATATACATATAAAGAGTAAAATAATATATATGTGTGTGTGTGTCTCTCACTTGTATATACGATCTTCGTCGGCATGAAAAGATGAATCGAAGGTGTCTTAAGCGATCTAACAATGTGAGAGCAAAATTATATACTTACCGACTCGATGCACGCGCCAGCCAGTAATTGCGACGCGATGCAGAAGATGTACCCGTCTTTTGCATGCATGCAACGGCGCCAGCCGTGACGCTTACGCAGGTGATTAAGTGCATTTGTCAGGAGTTTATCGACATCGTACCGCCGCTCAGCCCTCCTTTGCTCAATCAGTTCCAAATGATCTTCCTCCCGGTGTCAGATTTCATCAGCGTCAAAATGCTGTTAAAATTGCCGATTCAGGAACGATGCCGATAATCAGCTACGTGCACGCATAAAATTTCAGATAAAAGGAACATTTTTTGCTTTATTAAGCGCTAAGCGCTTCCCTTATTAAAAAAGTCTCTGAATCTCTTTGAGTGCTTCCTTCGCGATGTGTTACAAGAAATAAAACGCTAATTAAATCGGCGGCGTTTAAATACAAAACAGTTTCCTGGAACAAATAGATTAATGTTAATGTTCGACATGAAATCTTACCACATTCACACTTGTATGTCTCCCGTCATTGATATTCATGTCATTATTATTAACAATTTTTTTTGACGCGCATTTAGGAAGAGGAAAGCAACTCACGCTACCTTTTTGTCAGAACGGCGACGTCGCAATTATTTCGCTGTTACTGTACGTGGTAACGTTATCTGCTGCGTCAAAGTTAGGGTACGTTTAACAACTTTGAAAGAGGCTATCTGCTTCGTATATCTTATTTTCTTACGATATACACTTCGGTATGAGTCGGAATGCGGCGCCGAAGGCTTCTTCGCGCGGTTCATTTTTTGCTATCTCACTCTCAATCACTCCGTGTGCACTACGTTCGAGATCGATTCGAAGAGAGGTCCTCAAAGACCGATGAGGTGTTAATAAGATATTTTTTCGTTAGACTGAGATTCTTAATATATATCGTAACAATTCAACGAAATAAATCTGGAATGAAAATATATACATTTAATTACTTTCGATGAATTAGAAATAAGAAATGAGGAAATAGTTTTTAATTATACGACGAAAAATTCTAAAAGAATTCTCTTTTATTATAGTCGCCTAGAATAAAAATTTATTACTCCTTATTAAATTTTAATTTAATAATTAATTTTAATTTTAATTAAAAAGTTTTGATTTAAATGATTGAATAGGCTTGATGAAATGATTGAATAGACTGGTCATATATTTTTTGTTAGGTGACGCACTCGGTTGTCTCAACTTGCTTGATCTCAATTTACACGTCTTTTTTATAAAGTAATTTAATTTTTTAATTTAATTTAACATTTATTTATAAATCTCTTACACAAGTACAAATACATAACATTAACAATATCGGGTATATCGCGAGTGAACTTTGATCTCTGCCAGGTGTTTCATAGGTCGCGTTATGGGGGCGTTGTATATTCACGTGAGTTTTTATAATAGTCCTCTCTTATGCGGGTGCATTCATATCGGAGACGATCCGTTCATATTAGTTAAATCTGGTATACGTTCCATCAGCTGGTAGTCGCGTGTGAAAGATTTAAATATCGTCGGTCGATCTCTTTACTGAATATTACAAAAATTAGTAGTATTTTTAGTCAATAAATATGCTACTTTAATGAAGAGATCGACCGACGATATTTAAATCTTTATTTATTTTTATATTTTCTAGATTTTATTTTAAAGCAGATCGACATTTCATGAAGTTGCGAAGAATCTAAGACGAAGAAATTCCGTTCTATTTTTGTTGCAGATTTTCAATGCGGTCGTGTGAACGCAATTTTCTATGGACGGATCACTTTCTTCCAGTCTCTTAAGAAGAAGCGTCGAGATGCGGTGATAGCGAGCTTCGCATAGCAGCTGTTGCTGCGTATGATAGCGTAAGGTACGGTTTAATGTACCTCGAAGCCGACGTGAGTGCATACTTGCCTATCCGCGTTGCTGTTTACTCCCTTCACGTACGGCATATGGCGCACAATGATTTTTCCTTGAAGATAATTATGCGAAACCATCTATCCGAGTAAAGGACACCACTTGCGCCTCTTTCCTTCCTTCCTTCTCTTGCGCTACTCTGTTTCACGTACGGGGACTCTCGTTACCTACGCACACGAGAAAATTGCGTCATGAGCGAGCGAACGTGAATATAATGCGCTCAGAGTAGTTCGAAAATTGCCCATCTGCTCTACTAATAAGATACTGTTAGTACGGAATGAAATAACGTGAACGATTTCAAAATACGGTCTAATCAGGATATGGAAAGATCGCAATCGACATGATTTATTTCGAGTTGGATTGTATGCATAACGTTATATTTTTGCAGTACTTTACACCTATAGTTATTATATTGTAATAATATTTCGCGGGGCTCATGTCTTTTTTCTCATTACGCAGACGCACGTAGGGGGGCGGATGAAAGGGTACAGACGGGAAGGAAGGACAAGAGAGAGAGAGAAAGAGAGAGAGTCCCGTCTGCTAATTTGAATATTGAGTTGCGGGGGTGTCGGTAACGGGCAGCTGCACAACTCGCATAAAACATAAAACGTCTCTAGAACCATTTGCTCCTCCAGACGGAGGAACGTGGGTGCGTTCGAGTCAAGCCAAATATCTACCTACTCCTTTGAGTACCGAAAGATCTCCTGCGAACGACGCCCCGAAGACAAAACGCTCGCGTGTCCCGAACAAATTCTTCGAACTCTCACGAAACTCGTTTACTTTTCGCTCGCTGACGCGCGAATTTATATTCGTACGTGAGAAAAAATGAAATTTTTTTATTATTGTAGTAAATACTTATCCTTATATCGTGTACAAAAAAGTGTGCGTGTTTTCGATAATTTATAAATGATGGTTTCATGTCTCCCATTCTCCCAGCCTACGCAATCATATCTTACAATTAGAAGAAAGTAACGCATTTTATAATGACGGGAACGATTTGAAGGATGTGAGAAAGTGGTCATTATTTTAAAATACTTATCTTTGTATTGTGTATAAGTTTCGATAATTTATAAACGATATTTCTATGTCATCCCACGCAATCATATCTTACAATTAAAAAAAAAAGTCACGCATCTACTCACAATTAGTAACAATCGAATAGTCATTAAAAATAATAATCAAAGACGATAATATATTTGTTTTTGATTTAAAATAAATTATATTAAAAATATTATATATACATATAAAGAGTAAAATAATATATATGTGTGTGTGTGTCTCTCACTTGTATATACGATCTTCGTCGGCATGAAAAGATGAATCGAAGGTGTCTTAAGCGATCTAACAATGTGAGAGCAAAATTATATACTTACCGACTCGATGCACGCGCCAGCCAGTAATTGCGACGCGATGCAGAAGATGTACCCGTCTTTTGCATGCATGCAACGGCGCCAGCCGTGACGCAGACGCAGGTGATTAAGTGCATTTGTCAGGAGTTTATCGACATCGTACCGCCGCTCAGCCCTCCTTTGCTCAATCAGTTCCAAATGATCTTCCTCCCGGTGTCAGATTTCATCAGCGTCAAAATGCTGTTAAAATTGCCGATTCAGGAACGATGCCGATAATCAGCTACGTGCACGCATAAAATTTCAGATAAAAGGAACATTTTTTGCTTTATTAAGCGCTAAGCGCTTCCCTTATTAAAAAAGTCTCTGAATCTCTTTGAGTGCTTCCTTCGCGATGTGTTACAAGAAATAAAACGCTAATTAAATCGGCGGCGTTTAAATACAAAACAGTTTCCTGGAACAAATAGATTAATGTTAATGTTCGACATGAAATCTTACCACATTCACACTTGTATGTCTCCCGTCATTAATATTCATGTCATTATTATTAACAATTTTTTTTGACGCGCATTTAGGAAGAGGAAAGCAACTCACGCTACCTTTTTGTCAGAACGGCGACGTCGCAATTATTTCGCTGTTACTGTACGTGGTAACGTTATCTGCTGCGTCAAAGTTAGGCTACGTTTAACAACTTTGAAAGAGGCTATCTGCTTCGTATATCTTATTTTCTTACGATATACACTTCGGTATGAGTCGGAATGCGGCGCCGAAGGCTTCTTCGCGCGGTTCATTTTTTGCTATCTCACTCTCAATCACTCCGTGTGCACTACGTTCGAGATCGATTCGAAGAGAGGTCCTCAAAGACCGATGAGGTGTTAATAAGATATTTTTTCGTTAGACTGAGATTCTTAATATATATCGTAACAATTCAACGAAATAAATCTGGAATGAAAATATATACATTTAATTACTTTCGATGAATTAGAAATAAGAAATGAGGAAATAGTTTTTAATTATACGACGAAAAATTCTAAAAGAATTCTCTTTTATTATAGTCGCCTAGAATAAAAATTTATTACTCCTTATTAAATTTTAATTTAATAATTAATTTTAATTTTAATTAAAAAGTTTTGATTTAAATGATTGAATAGGCTTGATGAAATGATTGAATAGACTGGTCATATATTTTTTGTTAGGTGACGCACTCGGTTGTCTCAACTTGCTTGATCTCAATTTACACGTCTTTTTTATAAAGTAATTTAATTTTTTAATTTAATTTAACATTTATTTATAAATCTCTTACACAAGTACAAATACATAACATTAACAATATCGGGTATATCGCGAGTGAACTTTGATCTCTGCCAGGTGTTTCATAGGTCGCGTTATGGGGGCGTTGTATATTCACGTGAGTTTTTATAATAGTCCTCTCTTATGCGGGTGCATTCATATCGGAGACGATCCGTTCATATTAGTTAAATCTGGTATACGTTCCATCAGCTGGTAGTCGCGTGTGAAAGATTTAAATATCGTCGGTCGATCTCTTTACTGAATATTACAAAAATTAGTAGTATTTTTAGTCAATAAATATGCTACTTTAATGAAGAGATCGACCGACGATATTTAAATCTTTATTTATTTTTATATTTTCTAGATTTTATTTTAAAGCAGATCGACATTTCATGAAGTTGCGAAGAATCTAAGACGAAGAAATTCCGTTCTATTTTTGTTGCAGATTTTCAATGCGGTCGTGTGAACGCAATTTTCTATGGACGGATCACTTTCTTCCAGTCTCTTAAGAAGAAGCGTCGAGATGCGGTGATAGCGAGCTTCGCATAGCAGCTGTTGCTGCGTATGATAGCGTAAGGTACGGTTTAATGTACCTCGAAGCCGACGTGAGTGCATACTTGCCTATCCGCGTTGCTGTTTACTCCCTTCACGTACGGCATATGGCGCACAATGATTTTTCCTTGAAGATAATTATGCGAAACCATCTATCCGAGTAAAGGACACCACTTGCGCCTCTTTCCTTCCTTCCTTCTCTTGCGCTACTCTGTTTCACGTACGGGGACTCTCGTTACCTACGCACACGAGAAAATTGCGTCATGAGCGAGCGAACGTGAATATAATGCGCTCAGAGTAGTTCGAAAATTGCCCATCTGCTCTACTAATAAGATACTGTTAGTACGGAATGAAATAACGTGAACGATTTCAAAATACGGTCTAATCAGGATATGGAAAGATCGCAATCGACATGATTTATTTCGAGTTGGATTGTATGCATAACGTTATATTTTTGCAGTACTTTACACCTATAGTTATTATATTGTAATAATATTTCGCGGGGCTCATGTCTTTTTTCTCATTACGCAGACGCACGTAGGGGGGCGGATGAAAGGGTACAGACGGGAAGGAAGGACAAGAGAGAGAGAGAAAGAGAGAGAGTCCCGTCTGCTAATTTGAATATTGAGTTGCGGGGGTGTCGGTAACGGGCAGCTGCACAACTCGCATAAAACATAAAACGTCTCTAGAACCATTTGCTCCTCCAGACGGAGGAACGTGGGTGCGTTCGAGTCAAGCCAAATATCTACCTACTCCTTTGAGTACCGAAAGATCTCCTGCGAACGACGCCCCGAAGACAAAACGCTCGCGTGTCCCGAACAAATTCTTCGAACTCTCACGAAACTCGTTTACTTTTCGCTCGCTGACGCGCGAATTTATATTCGTACGTGAGAAAAAATGAAATTTTTTTATTATTGTAGTAAATACTTATCCTTATATCGTGTACAAAAAAGTGTGCGTGTTTTCGATAATTTATAAATGATGGTTTCATGTCTCCCATTCTCCCAGCCTACGCAATCATATCTTACAATTAGAAGAAAGTAACGCATTTTATAATGACGGGAACGATTTGAAGGATGTGAGAAAGTGGTCATTATTTTAAAATACTTATCTTTGTATTGTGTATAAGTTTCGATAATTTATAAACGATATTTCTATGTCATCCCACGCAATCATATCTTACAATTAAAAAAAAAGTCACGCATCTTATAATATAATAATTTCAAGAATGCGAGAAAGCGGTCATCGTGTATTTTATTGAGGATTTATCAAAAATTTATCGATTATTCAACTAGTAAAATATAGTGAATCAATTCGAGAAAGTTTCTCTCTCCTAACTTTCTATCAAACCTGTTCGTGCATTAGAATTATGTGCAAATATTGCGGGATTTTGACATATATACGTAGGTGCAAACGCGAATTTATAAAAAAATTTTATTAGATTTCAATCGTAATGCGTTTTTCTACTTCCGTCATATGTCTCTGCATTTTTCCATTTGCTTTTTTAGAGTATGCTTGTACGAGATATTTACATGATAACACACTTTCGTGACAACTACAATTATATTTTATATTTATATTTTATAGGCTTATATTTTAATACGAAATAGCTTAGACAGCTTTTATATGGATACACGAGAAATTTCTATACACACACATATAAAGTTAGAGTTTATCTCGTGGTCAACTAGCGACTTTTTTTACACATCTGCCACTTCATAGTGTTCACACCATCAGCCACTCGACAGCATAAATCGATCGCGTTTTACTTGCACAATATTGCTCGAAGAATTATTTTTACCTTTAACAAGACATAACATCGTTTATATATATATAAAAAAATACTCGGAGCCTTTGTCAGATTTAGCTCGATGCGTATAAATATTTTCATAACGGGCAACAAAGACGGTGCAGTTCATTAAGATTATAAAACTCGTTTGTTGTCACAGGCTAATGAAAATTGAATGAAAATTTCCAAGCGAGCGTAATCGCTTCAAAGAATCTGACCTTAATTCGCGCGATTGACATACCTCGTCCTTCCATCCTTTTTTTCCTTGCAGGATCCCCAGTTAGAACTTCGCAAATATTATTTTCCGTCTTGTCTACGGGCGTCCCAAGCGATGATACGGCTTTGTCGTGAAAGGATTCCCACAAAAGGTCCAATCATTCAGCCAGAAACGTAATGAATGGCCGGCATTTACATACGAAGATGGCGAGTATCTTATTACAAGACAACCGAGGGGGTGGGTTACATTTCGTTCGGTTAAGCTCGACCGAACAATGCTCAACCGAGGTGGTCGCGAAGGTAATACCCGGACGACGCGTTGCTGAAGACATGATTAACATTCGTTAATAAGATGGATGCGCGTGACGGGCATTGTTGACCCGTTGACATTGGGTGTGATTTAGGTACCTCGCTCGTATTCGAGGCTGCTGGGATCTACTACTAGCGCGAGGAGGAAGAGAAAGAATCGCTCGCCATTGTCTGTCGCGTTTTTTCATTACCTCGTTAGAGAACGCGTCAGGTCCCAGGAAACAAGAAATTTTTTCGTAGGTGTATCTTTTTGAAAAAAATTATATATTTTAATTCTCTTCTAATTTTTGTTTTTGAAGCAAATATACGTTTGACATTTCACTTCTTGATCCGCAAAGAATTTCACAGATGGTAGGAATCGAGTTAATAAAGTTTATCTACGTTATATCACAATTTTCTTTTCTGAAATTTTTATATGGCAAATGAATATCTTTTCTGATTACTTGTAGTCAATTAATTCAATATAAGTCATTATCTTTTATCTATATTAATTTTTACGCGAAAATTGTCACGTATATTCTGCGTTATTTTAATTCTTCATTTCTTTTTTCTCTCGAAATTAAAATAAAGTAAGA